TTTTTTTGTTTTTTATTTTAACAATGGACACAAAAAGACTTTTATATGTCGCTATATGCAACGTTCTCTATAGTTTTCTATGTCATTTATAAAATATCTAAGCTTATTGAATACTGTTTTATTATTTAGTAAGATTTTCATTGATTCGTAATGAAATGAGCGAGAAAAATGTAATAAGAGTAATTATTAATATAATACACTTATATGTTAAACCCAACTAAATACAAATTATAAATTTTTAGTGATTAGTCAACCTCTCGTGTGAATAATAAATGCGTATCCAATTCTTACTGCTGATTTAGTAACCAATAAACCTCCTTGTAACAAAATTATTATGTGGCATATTTAAAACAGTTTTACACCCCTATGTTGCTTATTTTAGGAAAAAAATTTTGTTTCTAATAAGGCCCTGTTCAGTTGAAAAATCAATTCAGATTTTCAAATCGACAATAATGGTATTTTTTTCAGCTGTGAAACAAATGTTTTCGAGGTTAATCGAAGATTGGATATTTATAACTTGTGTGATGCGAAAAATAGAAGTAATATTATTGATGGATGCTATCAATTTGTCAGAAGGAAATTGAAATCCTTACAAGTATGTCACTTTCTATCACAGTGACACACTCTAAATAGATAGTTATCCGTAAATAATCATTTTATCCATTATTATTAATACCACTAAGTTATTGGCATATTGCCCTGATGGTTTCAAGGTTCAGTAGAGAAAAGTAGCCACAGTCACAGGAGCTATACAAGTAAAATTGATTGAATATTGTTTTGTTATATTATTTATTACATGATTTATTTTTAAATTTCTTTTTCTTGTGTATTATAGTTAAAAATGAAATTCTTTCACATTATTGCTGTACTTCTTTGTCTCTATATAACTTTAACAAGTTCTATTTACGAAAACTTCTTAGAAGTTAAAAATGGTGGTACAACTAAGATGATTAGCTATTGTTCTTCAGCCATTGTCATGAAACTATTTAAACTTGAGCAAAATTTAAGAGTAATATCTGATGATCGTAATGTTGTTAGTGACAGTGATTTCCTTAAAAATTTAAATTTGAATTTCACACTTTTACTTTCTACAAACACTTGCGATCCAAATATTATACTGAGTTGTGTTGTTATAAGTAACGATATTTCTTTTCTGTATACTGTATTCAGAAAATCATGTTACAATCAATTCTCCCGATACTTAGTTATTACTGAATTGAAAATTATTGCTTTCAAAGATTTCATCAGTTATTTGTGGAATAATAGCTTTACCTTTGTAACACTTTTGATAACTGATCAACATTTAATCCAAATTCATCAACAAATAAGCGGTTGTGCATACTGCGATCATCGGGAACCTAAATGGCACGTAACTGGATATTACAATAACTCATTAAATAAAAAGTTTTCTGGCTCAATCACATCTTTCGAAAATATGCTTTGCCCCGCTAAAATTTGCGAATTAAGATTTATCAGAGTGGATTATGGAGCCACAAAAGAAGAATTATATGATTTTAGTGATAATGGAACTGAAATAGCAGCAGATAGCTACGGTGGCTGTGTTTTAGAAGCTTTTGCGGAATACTACAATTTGTCAATAACAAAGAAAGATTACGTGAGCAATTACAATTGGAGTAACACAGTACGAGAAATACTTAATGGTCACGTTGACATTGGTTTCGGCCCAACGCTTCCTTATTCCCATATTGTTTGGAATTTGGAAAAAAGCACTTCGTATACGTGAGTTTTTAAGTCACGAAATTTAGCTTATTCTAAAGATCTTCTTTAATCGATGTTTAAAAGGCTGCACAAGTCATTGAAAAAAAATCGCAATAGTTTTTAAAGCCTTGAGTACGTCTAATACACAAACAAAAGAGAAAAGCTTTAAAGAATTTTTCAGTATTGTAAGGACTACATTTTTTTGTAATTTTTAAGATGTTTTTGACGTAAATGAAAGACTTCATTGGATGTGCAAATTAATTCAATGATTTTAAATGACTATAGATGTCCTTAAACAATTTTTGTTAACTTTAAAGTTCAATACTTTTATCTTTTATTTCATCTTCAACATCTTGTCATGCGCACAACACGTAGTATGTAAGAGTCATGAATCAATTTATTGAAAGACTTTAGAATTTTTATCGAGATCTTATGGAGCAGAATCTCTTAACGTCAATACAGAATATATTTTTCTAAGGATTATACATTTTTCAGATTTGAAGAATTTTTATTCATCGATATGATACCAAATATTATCCCATCTGTTTCGCTAATTACGATGCCTCTAAGTGAAGAAGTTTGGTTCTGTTTTATAACTATAGCATTATTTTATGGATGTTTTGTACTTCTACTCAAAAAATTGAGAACTCAAAAAACGAGAGAAAAAATAGATATTTTGCATCTTGTGGCTATGTATTTTAGTCAGAACATACGTTTGCCAAAGAAATCGGGACTACGCATTGTAGTTTTCATGTGGTTAATTTATGCTTTTTTAATGAATGCCATTTACAATTGCAATTTCTTTAGCATTATCATTAATGCTAAGCCTATTCACATGCTGGAAATTTTTCGTGATTTACGGAATTCGAAACGAAGAATAGGTGGTACTGATATCGCAAAAGAATGGTTATATGATAGGAGAGATCCAACTATGATGGACTTATATAATCGGTAAATATTTTCTTTTACTTCAGTTGGCTGAAAGAACCAGCTTATAACTTATTATGTGAACATTGCTATAGGTATGAAATAATAAGCCCTGACAATGCATCTTACGCTTTGAAAGAACTTGGGATGGTAGTGTCTCTGACTGATTATGCACTTATAAAAACAGGCATGACAGAATATTACGTGTTGAAAGAAAAAATTATCTCTTATCCTCTACTGTACTATATGCCACAAGGTCATCCTTTCTCAAAATATATAACTCGATTCATGGAACGGATAAAAACTGGAAATGTGCCATTTTTACAATGTCCAGAAAAGAAGATGAGAAAAATTATCAACGAGTTTCAAGCAATTACTATTGTTCACCTGCAAGTACTCTTTAAGATACTTATCTTTGGTCATTTTCTCAGTACCATCATTTTTTTGACGGAATATTTTTCGTAATTTGAAATTTACTTGATACTGTAAAATAATTGTCATTTTGTCTTTATATTTTCGGTTTTACGTTGAAAGAGTACTATAATATTTGAAATTACTGTGTAGATTGGTATTTATTTAAAGTACAACAAAATTATAATCATATTTGTGTCGAGAATAAGCTAAATGAGATTTTATTTCTGGTAAACCATATTAATACTCAGAGCCAGAAAACTATATTTATTTTCCTGATTAATAAAACTACAAAGTTACCACTAAAAAAGTTTAAAAAAAAAAAGACTTTCAGAACCAAAATTTCCTTCCCAGAAACTAAGCTGGTTAGTTTTAAAATATGAAATAAATCTTTTTTTTACGTAAACTCAACTGATTCTTCATTGTCATTACATTAGTATGATGTAAAGAATTATTAAGAAATAAAATAAACTATAGTATAGTTTACCCGTTTGTTTGAAGGTGAAAAATAAATAAATATGCGTGAGATTTTTTTTCTTGCTAAACTGTATCGAATACTTACACGTTGTTGAAACCATAATCACATACATCATCTTAAATAAACAGATGTTTAAATAATAGCAGTCGTAAATTTTTAATTGTGGATCTTCATAAGTAATACAAATTTTATTTTATGAATGCAGTACTTTAAGTATTAAGTGTTCTTCGAACTGCAATCATTTCTCTAAAACTGCTCGTAAACTGACGAAGTAAGACATCGTTTTTGATAGAAACTAAAAATGTACATATTCATCATTGTAAAATTAATAAATAATTTATTATAATTTGTGAAATATGTTTGTTACTTCAGCATAGGACTCTACAGAATAAGACTTTATGAGTCCCGCTATGGACAACACAAATGGTTTTTGACTGCGGAACGCTAGCATAATAGCAATTCGAGCTGCAGCCGGTGATTTTTGTTGCGAAGCTACGTAAAGAGAAGATCTAGCTAATGATTCACACTGTAATGAATTTAAAAAATTATTTTGATTATAAATATAAATCAGACGTAATAAAAGTAATAATCTTACGTTTTCCCGTAAATCGCTCGCGGGTTGAGCGCTGACATAGAGTCTAAAACAACCAGCTGTTACCATGAGAACAAATCGTAATAAAATCTCTATGGGTGGATGCTAAAACGAATGCAAAATTTATTAATATGCAAGGATGAGTTTGCAAGCATCCCGAGACCGAGATGAGTTAAAATCTTAGTTCCACCTTACCATGTGTTTGAGTTATAGATAAAAGTATTAAACCAAAAATAAATACATTACACTTTGTTATAACTTACTTGAATTAACTGGAAAGCACCACATATGATCGCTCCAGTCATTAATACATTTGACTTTAAAATAATAAATCGTATTCCTTCCATCACGTTACTCGTGAATCTACAACGATTGAAATATATAAATATACGTAGTAACAAGATACTACTTAAAATAATATTTTTGTACACGCAACATCAGTTAAATTGTGACCCCAGTAGATGCAAAACAATTTTAATGTTAAGCTTGATTTTAAAATACAGTAAAAATGATTGTAAAAGAGGAATATGAGACAAGAACAATTTTTTATGGAATTTTATAAAAAATATCTCTGATTATGTGTGATAAGTTAATAAATCTTGACATTTAGTTTTAATTGGTGTGTTGTATNCAGATTTGAAGAATTTTTATTCATCGATATGATACCAAATATTATCCCATCTGTTTCGCTAATTACGATGCCTCTAAGTGAAGAAGTTTGGTTCTGTTTTATAACTATAGCATTATTTTATGGATGTTTTGTACTTCTACTCAAAAAATTGAGAACTCAAGAAACGAGAGAAAAAATAGATATTTTGCATCTTGTGGCTATGTATTTTAGTCAGAACATACGTTTGCCAAAGAAATCGGGACTAATGGCTAATCTTTCTTTAAACACACGCTCAACTAATTGTTTTTTTGAAGCTCGTTTTATGATCCCATTCGCGGAATCTCGAGCTTTGATGTCTCACTCTCTTTTTTCATCCTCTTGGGCTCCCATCTAGTGTATATTATGTGTTTCTCCGAAAGAAGAAACCAAACTTCTATAACTGATATAAAATCCGACGTGCGTATAAATCTACATAGCCGCAATCACTACTTACGTTAAAGGGCTTACAACAAAATTTTATTTGCCAGAAAAAAAGTATTGAAAAAATTTCTATGAGTTAATTTTAGTAGTGTTTACCACACATTCAAATTTCAAAGGGATATACGGTCAAGTTTTTGAGAAAACTGGATCACCAAGTTGGTTGCTTACACGCAGATATGATCATGGCTTTTATAGTTGCTAGATATCACTGAAAAAATGTTCGTTAATCAAAATAAACGTTTATTTGAATACAAACAATAAAATATTGATTCAAATTAAATAATAGTAATTCAAAAAAATTAAATCGAATAAGTAATTTTTTTATAACACGAATAAACATTTTTTTTGTGTTCAAATAAACGTTTCTTTGGATTCGCAAATTTTTTTTCTCGGGGTACACGTTCTTACTAATATACTTTGACAATTGGACTTAAACTTGCTTGAAAAACTACAGTACAATAAAAAATTACGTTCAAAATATTATTTTACAATTTCAGGAGGCCTAGTACAGGGTTCTGAATAATTCAATATAATCTTAATTTTATTACATTTTAATGAACAATTTAAGTCAATTATTTGATTGATTTAATTGTAAATTAACAATTAAATTCTGTTCTGAGTTAACATAAGTTCAAATTGGTAATTAAATTTCTTTTTTAGTTAAAATGAGTATAAATAAATAATTCAATTTCACTGTTAATTAGCATGGAATTCAAAGAAGATTGAAACTTTTTTTAAATTTAGAAGTAATATAAAGATTTATTTAACCTGGCAGAAGACATAGTATTTTACAAATTTCACGAAAAAAAGGGCAAAAATTAAGTGTCATCTATAATATATTTTACAAGATACCTAATTTTAATTGGAATAGTTCAATTGAGAAATTTATTATTTTAGTGATATGTTTTTAAATATATCTACAGAAGTTAAAGGTTTAAGAACAACTTATACAATGGACCAAAAAAAAACGTTNGTTAATTATTAATACTTATTATTTTAACTTTAAAATAATATAGTAACAGCTAGGAAAATACAATGCATTGTTAAATATCTCATTCTTAACCCTCTTACTTTAGTTAAAATAACGTTATAAAATAGAATGTGATCCTAAATTTAAGTGAAAAATCTTACCTGGAATTTTTTTTCCATAACTTTACTTGCTAACATATTAAGAAATATTTCACAAAGGGCCGTCATCTCTGATAACGATCTTGTAATTTTGATGGAGTCTTCATAAAAATAGTAAACTGCTAGATTTAACGGTATCAACAATGCTATGACATTGGTAAAAGCAACCCACCACTTAAAGTTATGGATTAAAACTTCATTTTTAGTAGCATTTATTTTTAAGGGCCAAATAGCAATGAGTTTACCAAAATATCGTAAGAAATAAAACACATTTTTTGGATTTATACAATTCTTCATTTCAATTACTATGGACCAACACAATAATATTTCCAGTAACAATAATTACTTGCTCGATGATGAGAAAAAAAATTGTTGAACTAAGTAGATCAGTGGGAAATATAATTAATGGTTATTTATTCAACAACAATCTTACTACGCTCTAAAGCACCAGCGCATGAATTGCTGCCTTTTTTTCCAGAACATACTAGATGAAAGTGACGAGTGACAGTCTAATAGGTGTAATTACTTTCAGCTGGAAGGCTTTTCCCCTTTCTATGTGGCCGATAAACTGAACTTCAACTAGATTGATCTTTCTCGTGAACACTTTAACCAGTGGTCTCTATCGCTGATAAAGTGTACAAATACTATACTCTCAGAATATGTTAGGAAGAATTCCTTCAAATTTGTATACGATATAGACACTGTTTCAAAGCAAATATAAATGGAGACTGTTGACGTGACTATTGGGTCGGTAAACGATATCTTTATAAAGGTTTAGGCCATTAACGCTCGTTCAATCTTAAATTATTTACGTGATTTCAATCAACTTGAAGTATATCTTGATATTAACGCATATTAAAAATAATAGACATCTTGCTTCATGGTATGCATATTTAAACTAGCTTTACATGATTTATTTCTACAGAAAAAATTGTTCAAGGGTAGAAAAATTAAAATTCCATTATCATTAGAAGCATGCAATTACGACTGACGTAGTACGTGTCTGTTGATTTTCCTTGTGTAAATTTTTTACTTCGTGAATTTTTGTGTCGTCAAAGTTTTATGTTAAAGGAATTCAGACAGATGTCCACACAAGCATTGGTAACAGAAATGTTTTTGTAAGCGTTCTTACCTTTTCGTATTGTATGAATAATGCGTAGATGCAACAGCCTTTCGCTTTTGAAAAATATTTTATTTATACAATAAAATCTTTTGTTAATTATAGTATAAAAAAGTTACTATTTTTACGTATGTATTCAAAAATAGTTTATCAAGCAAATGAGGGTTAGAAAACGTAGTATTTGTGCATGGTAAAAAACGTTTTTATATTATTACGTATTCAAGAAGTGGAAAAGAACATGCGTAAACTATTTAAATTCAAGATAAAAAATATCATTTAATAAATCATTAATTTTCATGCCAGAATTTACATTAATCATTAGTAAAAATGTAATATTCAGACTAATTTCCATACAGTGTGCTTATGTTTATGACTGATGACTTTAAAAACTGGAAAGAAGCATCCCTTGCCTTTATGAATATTTTTTTTCTATTTTAAGGATGATGCAAACTCTTGGAACAAACATTTTAAGCATATGCATTAAGGGCAAATAAAAAACTGTCTGTATTTAACACAAGCTTCTAGTTCAAAGATGTAATTACTTATTATTTTTTTTTACTTTTTCATTTTTTCATTCAATAATCATTTTGATGATGAATTAATTATTAACGTTCAAAATCTATTATGAAATTTTTTTGTATAACTATACTTCTACGATTCTTATAAGCCTACTCCAAACACCGTTTTGCGTTACAGCTTACTATGGTCACGAAAATTTGTATCCAATTAGTTTATTCTCGTAAGCACAAATTGAATCCAAAACTGGTAATCAAGTACATACTAAACTTATAGAAGAACGAGACAAAACGAAATTTACCAGCCTTGTTGGTAACCCTCAGAAACGAAATCTAGTGGCCAGATAATAACTAATTCTTATTGAGAGTCTTATCAGGCGATATTCTATCTTTATTTTGTATATTACGATTTTCAGATACAAAGCATTAACGGACACAATACATGTTTTTTGGTAGTGAAAAAATAATGTGGTACAACAGTTAATCACAAGTGCCTTTTAAAGAGTACTAAGGCACTGCTGAAAAGTATTTTTATGACCTGAAAATTTTATTAACGAAAGAATAATATTTATTAATTTTTTGTACAATATTTTTTGGAGTAAATTTTTTTGTAGGGGTCACAAAAAACAACTAGCATTAACAACTGTAGAGTAAGAAGTAATATATTTGAAGATGATAGGTGGTTACTTTTTTTTTAACGATTTAATTTCTTCTACTTTTGGAAGTATCTACATAGTTAACTTTCACGATTATTATATTCAAATGAAAAACAGTAAGTGGTATAAAAAATGTCTCACTCCTACAATACCATGGCTACTGACAAGTTAATATAATATGCATTGAAAAACGTTGCACTTTTTACAAGTTGATCAATAAATAATTAAACTCACCAATAGGTAGATTGTTTTCTAAAAAGGACCTTACGTCACAATTTTCCCCTCATAATCACAATCAATTATTTATATGCCAAAAATTGTACGTATTAACGCAGATGTTCATTAGATATTGAAACTATTTCTACATTCCAAAAAAAACACAAAAGTGACTTATTATAGTAAAAAATCATATTGGCTTTGTATNTACTGTTTTATTATTTAGTAAGATTTTCATTGATTCGTAATGAAATGAGCGAGAAAAATGTAATAAGAGTAATTATTAATATAATACACTTATATGTTAAACCCAACTAAATACAAATTATAAATTTTTAGTGATTAGTCAACCTCTCGTGTGAATAATAAATGCGTATCCAATTCTTACTGCTGATTTAGTAACCAATAAACCTCCTTGTAACAAAATTATTATGTGGCATATTTAAAACAGTTTTACACCCCTATGTTGCTTATTTTAGGAAAAAAATTTTGTTTCTAATAAGGCCCTGTTCAGTTGAAAAATCAATTCAGATTTTCAAATCGACAATAATGGTATTTTTTTCAGCTGTGAAACAAATGTTTTCGAGGTTAATCGAAGATTGGATATTTATAACTTGTGTGATGCGAAAAATAGAAGTAATATTATTGATGGATGCTATCAATTTGTCAGAAGGAAATTGAAATCCTTACAAGTACGTCACTTTCTATATAAGTAAAAATACTAGAAAAGCTTATTAAATCTAACAGCTTTATCGAATAGATTACTGTAAAATACTGGATATGAGCTTTTTTTTTACTTAAAAAACTGACTGTGATAAGTGTAATCTTACGCATGATGTTATAAGGCACGTAAACCCTATATGGGAAGTGATAACACTCGTACCATCTAGCAAATATTAATAGGAGCAGTCTTTCTTGGTTTCTGATTACGTAAAAAAAACGCTTCAATATTTTTCTATCATTTACCTTTTATACTCACTAAAAAAGAATTGTTATTATCGTTATAACTGATTAGAATTTACATGTTCATAGTGTTGCAATTAGAGTTATCATAATATCCCGAAGCACTCACAAAGTAAATTTTTTTTAGTTACGATACAGAGGAACGAACGTTCACTGTTACTAAAAAAACCAGCATGTTTTTATCAATATTGTAACATTTTTTGTAGTTTTGTTACTTTTTAAAAATACAATTGAAATAAACCTTATTAATTCTAAAATACTAAATTTTCCAAATATTTGTTTTGTTGAGAAATATCTGTTAAAAATAAGTAATTTCACTTAAGACATTTTTTGCTCAAACAATCTAAAATAAATAAACTTTGATGTTAATTCGCACTAAAGTAAAAACTGTCTTTAAAAATGTATATAATTTTTCTGTAAATAAACTTTTAAGTTGGAGAGATTATTTTTTCAAAACCAAACACGTTGGTACAAAATAATTTTCCTACATAAAATAAAGACTCTCTGAGGAAGAACACTGCTGGAAGAGAAACAAGTGTATTTCCCGTGTTTTAGTAGCAATCGATAAATCTTATTATTTATTGATGTAACAGATCAAGTAAACATACGTAAAAAAAAAAAAAATCACGCATACTTTTTGTTTACAGGTCAAGGTATGGTTTCAAAATCGTCGAATGAAGTGGCGACACGCAAAAGAAGTTGAGAAGTCCAGTGACGTTCAAATAGATTCCACACACAACGATAATCTGAAGCCATATCAGCTATGCAATGCTTCACGAAGTGGTGACGAAACGAAAAATACAGATGATGAGGATATTGACGTGGGATCTAATGAATAGGATTCTCTGTAGAAATACAAAATTATAATTTTCAACTTTTACTGGACAGTCGTCTTATGTTTTTGTCATCTACAAAAATGAGGCTCATACCATATTTTCTAGTCAATTCAACATTGGAATAAAAATGCTACTTTTTACTCAATTCATTGTACCATACGGGCTTAGCATGCTTTAGTAGCAGATAGTGCTGTTTTTTATACATGAATTTAGCATAGGCCTATAAATTATCTTTTCACGTTTATTTGATTTCCTTATGGTATAATTGTCAATAAATAATATTTTTCAGGATACTAGTCAGTTTTAAATGTTCTGAGCTTTCTTATGAGTTTTTAGTTACTGCCGTATCCCGTTGAATGAACTTTTTTTCGAAAATAATTTTTAAAAACGCAGTTTTCAATGAGCTAAATCATCATACAAAACGATGAAAAAATTTATGCTGATTCCTGATAATCGAATTGATCATACTTATAAATTTTACCTGATTTATTGTAAGTTTGTAAAAGGTATGAGCCTACTTAATTATTAAGATAAACCAGAGATTACTGCGAAAACTAGTAATTTATTAATCTTTTAAATAAATTTTTTACTATGTAATATTTTTAAAAATTGTATATCATGATGCACTGACATTCAATGCCAAAATTATATTTTAAAAATACCAAAGAAATATATATATTAATTTTTTGTTTCACTTAATGAGTTAACATAAGTTCAAATTGGTAATTAAATTTCTTTTTTAGTTAAAATGAGTATAAATAAATAATTCAATTTCACTGTTAATTAGCATGGAATTCAAAGAAGATTGAAACTTTTTTTAAATTTAGAAGTAATATAAAGATTTATTTAACCTGGCAGAAGACATAGTATTTTACAAATTTCACGAAAAAAAGGGCAAAAATTAAGTGTCATCTATAATATATTTTACAAGATACCTAATTTTAATTGGAATAGTTCAATTGAGAAATTTATTATTTTAGTGATATGTTTT